TTTTCAGAAAATAGGATTTATTACTAAAAAGGTCAAAATGGTGCAATAAAAAAATATTTACAGAAAAAGATGTAGCCTATATATATATATATATATATATATATATATATATATATATATATATATAAATACAGAGAGCAATAACACAACAGGGAGATAAGAGAAAGAAGTTTAGAGAGGTAGAGTACTTGCCAGAGTCCTGGGTTTAAGCAGATCAAGTGTCCTGAACAAAAAAGGTATAGTTTCTCCCAAAACTGGTTTCTGATGTTAAAAAGGGAGAATCTCTTCATCTTCCCACTCTCAGGCCTGACAGCCTCTTTTCTAGTCCACCAGCAGGGGGTGTCTCTGTAGCCAAGGGCCAATCGCCTCATGTGGGGAGGGGGGTTTAGGCTGAGACCCAGGCTAGGACCAAAAATCCCTCCCAAGTTATACCATGGCCAATCACCTTCCATAGGTACATGTAGCATCCTTTCCACTGGTAGGATAATATACAGAATGATATTCTGAACGTCCAGACATCAAATATGACATATCTGCTTGGGACGGTTAGAGAGATATTGTTTTCTGCTCTCAGGTAGACGTAATCTAGGGATGTAAGGTATCAGGTGACTCGCATTAAACTGACCTGTCTGAATATATGTTTTGTTTCATTGTAAGTATTTCCTGCGAGAAATTATGAAATTATATGAAAAGTGGTTTCCAAACGAGATGTATATTTTACTGCTATTCCGGAATGCTTTCAAGTCCAGTGACTGGCGAGTTTATAGCTTTACGAGCAGCTCAGAGCAAGAGAGTCGGACAGACACCATGGCATCAGCTAACTGGGTTTACAACCATGAAGGGTATCCAGCTGTGCCCTTTGCACTCCTGAACTCAGCCACACCAGACCACATGCCATTCAACAAAAAGGGGAGGGGAGGACTGATTTGGAGTGAGAATGACACAAGATGGAGGATCTTTAGCAACATGGATGTCCGTGTCCATATCTGTACGTACGATTGCTACACTTACTACTGCTTGTTTTCTATTTACAAATTTTACCCCAGTTCTAAATTTTCTTCCCTATAGGACTCCATTCACGGGCATGCTGTAATTGCCAAACCACAAATTACTGATATTAATGCTCAGAAAAGAAGAGAGTGGTACAACACCCATAAATCATGGATTATCAATGGAAGACTGTAATACAGTCCGATGAATCAAACTTCACATGATTCCCAACTCCTGATGTGGCAAACAGTCCCAAGCTTGCAACCAGGACTGTCTTGTGCCAACGGTAAAGCATGGTGGTGGCACAATCATGGTTTGGGCAGCGATATCTTGGTACTCTGTAGGCCCCGTCATCACCTTGAAAGGCAGAGTCACTGTCAGGGACTATGTACAAATTTTGACAAACCATGTGCATCCCATGGTGCAGATATTGTTTCCCGAAGACAGCGCCATTTACCAAGATGATAATGCTTAGATTCACACAGCTGGTATTGTCAAATCGGGTTTGATGAGCATGCAGATGTAGTCTCGCATCTTCCCTGGGCACCACAGTTGCCGGACCACAATATCATAGAGCCACTATGGTCAATTTTGGAAAACAAGGTTCAGGCTCGTTTTTACGCCTATGGCATCTCTGCAAGTGGTATCAGATTCCATTATCCACCATTCAAGGCATATATTTGTCAATTTCCAGGAGAATTCAGGCTGTCTTGGATGCCAAAAGTGATTCAACACCATATTAAAAAAGGGTTTTATTCTTTTACCTGGCGTTTTCATAATTTTGTTCAACCCATGTATGTTTAACTATACACTATATTGCCAAAAGTATTGGACGTAACAAGGAAAAAAAACAAAAGCGCACCAACCTTGCGCATTACCTCAGTGAGTAAAGGGTGAATTTATTAAATTAAGATGTATACTCACAAAAGTAGCAATATTAAAAGCATATAAAATCCAACATCAGCGCACTGGGATAGCCGACACGTGCGGGTTCCATGTACAGGGGAGACTCTCAGCTTCATCCTGAGAGTGTCCCCTGATTTCTGATCTGGGTCTCTGAGCGCAGGAGGTTTTGCTTTCGTTTTCAAAAGTATTGGACGCCTGCCTTTACACGCACATGAACTTTAATGGCATCTCAGTCTTGGTGTGTAGGGTTCAATATTGAGTTGGCCCACACTTTGCAGCTATAACAGCTTCAATTCTTCTGGGAAGGCTGTCCACAAGGTTTAGGAGTGTGTCTCTGGGAATGTTTGACCATTCTTCCAGAAGCGCATTTGTGAGGTCAGGCACTGATGTCAGACGAGAAGGCCTGGCTAACAGTCTCCACTCTAATTTATTCCAGTGGTGTTCTATCAGATTGAGCTCAAGACTCTGTGAAGGCCAGTCAAGTTCCTCCACCCCAAATTCGCTCATCCATGTCTTTATGGACTTTGCTTTGTCCTGGTACGCAATCATGTTGGAACAGGAAGACATTCTGTTCCCACCAAGTTGGGAGCATGAAATCGTCCAAAATGTCTTGGTATGCTGATGCCTTAAGAGTTCCCTTCACTGGAGCTAAGGGGCCAAGCCCAACCCCTGAAGAACAACCCCACACCATAATCCCCTCCACCAAACTTTACACTTGGCACAATGCAGTCAGGCAAGTACCGTTCTGGCAACCGCCAAACCCAGACAAGTCCATCAGATTGCCAGGCAGAGAAGCATGATTCATCACTGTAGAGAACACATCTCCACTGCTCTAGAGTCCAGTGGTGGCATGCTTTACACCACGCACCCGACGCTTTGCATTGCACTTGGTGAAGTAAGGCTTGGATGCAGCTGCTCGACCATGGAAACCCATTTCATGAAGCTTTCTATGCACTGTTGTGCTAATCTGAAGACCACACCAAGTTTGGAGGTCTTTAGCTATTGACTCTGCAGACAGCTGGCGACTTCTGAGCCCTGTGCACTTCAGCATACGCTGACCCCACTCTGTCATTTTACGTGGTCTAGTTACGTTTCGAGTTGCTGTTGTCCCCAGTTGCTTCCACTTTGTTATAATACCACTAACAGTTGACCGGGGAATATTTAGTAGCAAGGAAATTTCACAGATGGACTTATTGCATAGGTGGCAACCTATTACGGTACCACGCTTGAATCCACTGAGCTCCTGAGAGCGACCCATTCTTTCACAAATGTTTGTAGAAGCAGTCTGCATGCCTAGGTGATGATTTTATACACCTGTAGACATGGAGGTGATTGGCACAACTGAATCCAATCCAATGATTTGGAGGGCGGACCCAATACTTTTGGCAATATAGTGTAGCTGAGGTATTCCTCAATGCAGACTGCAATTGTTTTTTTGTCTTTTTTTTTTTGCACTATAAAAAAAAAAAAAAAAAAAAGACCAAGAAAAATGCACAGGCAATCAAATACCACCAAAAGAAAGCTCAATTCATGGAGGAAGAAAAAAAAAAAAAAAAAAAAAGGACGTAAATTTAATTTGGGTGCAGCAATTGTCAAGTAGCATAGCATCGTAACGCAAAAATGCTAGTAGGAAGGTTATTTTTGCAGAAGAGCCTCTATATGTCCCTTCTATGAAAAATAGCTTCATACTTTCCTGCAAGCAGGTCTTAACAGAATAATTACTTAGCTGTGTATGCGCAGCACAGTATACATTCTTTGCATGGCTTGGTGGCAGGAAGAATTATGCAGAGTAGTCACACCATCACAAGCTCAATAGCCAAAGATGCTGAACCCAGAAGACCAAGAGAAGCTGTCAGTGGTGAAGAGGTTGAGTGTGGTCATTGCATCAAAGGTGGAGAGGTAAGTGCTGTAGACAATAGTTCCAATTCAAGAGCTTCTACGGGATTAAATTTAAGACCAGCATATATTGGACTAACTACTGACTATTCCCAATCTCTGAGGTTATGGAGTCAGGAATAATACAACAAAAGCAGCAAGGCAGGAAATGGGACTTGGGTCGGTAGAAGTTGGGAATTTTGATGGGGCTATAAAAGTGCTGGAGAAAGAGATGCAACTAGAACCTTCAGGGCCCTGATGCAAGAAACCATGAAGGGCCCCCCTAACCCCCCCCCCCCTTTCCCTCTAAGCCCAGGGCCCTTTAATCACATCGCAGTCCCTTTATTACCGTCCCTCAGCAGAACCATTTCATATGTTCTGCAGCGGGCTCCCTTCTTGGCGCTTGGGTAGAGTTGCCACCTCTTCTTCAAGCCAAACGCAAAACACTTTAGTGGAGCACGGTATATACATACTGTATACATATATTTTGTGAATAAATAACATTTCTAATCATATGGATTTAATCATAAGAGTTCCCCCTTATCTGGATCTGCAGAGTTCCCCTTCACATCTGAATCCGCAGTTTCCCCTTTACATCTGAAACTGCAGAGTTCCCTTACATTGTAAGAGGCGACTCTGCAGACTATGATGTAAGGGAGAACTCTGAGGACTCTAAAAAGCAGGTCCTTGTTTTTGTTTTTTTTTAACCTGGAGAAGTGCTTTAAAAATATTAGATACCACGACAGCAAGGAAACAATATTTGTTAGAAGGGGAATTAAGGAATGGTGACCTACATATCTTTTAGGACAGGTTCCTTTAAAATTGCTCATGAAGCCCATATTGTATTGACTGACTGCTGAACTTTACCTTTATTTGACCACCCTTGCCTATAAAGTGGCACTCACTGAATATTGCGTAGTAATATGGAAATGATCAAGAAAGAAAAAATTTACTTTCAACGCACGTACCACAAAGCCCTAACCTGTGGTTGGTGATGAAGTTATGAAACGGAGCATATTATGGAATATAGTTCCCAAAGTAGCCACCTCTTTACAGAGATTGGCTAGCCACATAACACTTCCACTTTAACCACTTTTACCCCTTTCCTGCCCAAGCCAATTTTCAGCGCTGTTGCACTTTGAATGACAATTGCGCGGTCATGCAACACTGTACCCATATTACATTTGTATAATTTTTTTGAGACAGATTGAGCTTTCTTTTGGTGGTGTTTAATAACCACTGGGTTTTTAATTTATTGATAAACCAAAAACTTAAAATAAATAAATAAATAAATTTTTTGTTATAGTTTTGTAAATGAGTAATTTTTCTCCTTCACTGATGTGCGCTAATGAGGCTGCAGTGATGGGCACTGGTAGGTGGCACTGATGGGCATTGACAGGCATCACTGGTGGGCATTGACAGACATCACTGATGGGCACTGAAAGGCAGTACTCATATGGCATTGATAGGCGGCACTGATAGGCAGCACTGACGGGAGATAAAATTCCATGGACCATGCGATCCTCCAGTGTTTTGAGTCACAGCTCATCCAAAGAATCCAGGAGGACTGCAGGAGGTCAGGTCAAACTTCACATCGAAAGTTCAAGAAAAGAACTTTGAACTTTGTAGGTGAAGTTTGACCTGACCTCCTGTGGTCCTGCTGGATTCTTTGGATGAGCTGTGACTCACAACACTGAAGGATCGTATGGTCCATGGAATTTTATCTCACCAATTGTTTGATGATAGCGGCTTTAATATAATCTACATCTGCCTTAACAGCGTCTGCCTCTGTGGCTATCGGTGCGGCCTCAGTGCTCTCCTGGGGGGACCTGGCCCGGTTGGTGCTTGTCTGGATGCGGTTTGGGGAGGAGTCATGGACTTGGTCACACACCCAATGTTTTTAATATTGCGGAAATTCAATCATTGATACTTTTCACTCGGTATCTATCACAGCATGCTTCCGTAGAGGCCATATGTCTTATGTACAGAATTTCTTTGACCCTGAAGAAGGGGTAAACTTACTCTGAAACACATTGGATGTCACCTAGGAACTCTTATGTCAACATAACTGTGTATGGTATCATTGTAATCTTTGAATGTAATACCGCCTTCTCTATGTTTTATGGCTATCACTCATCTATGTCTAATAAAGATTGATGTAACTTTTATATACTCTGGTGATGCCTATAAAGTCCTATTCAGGGGAGTTGTTTTCTCCTATACAAATTTGTATAGAGGATAAGGCTAGAACAACCAATTCCACTCCCAGTGTGTTTGGATCTCCTGGTTCAGAATGGGATGTTCCATCTGAACCCCATGCATCAGAAATGAATGGCTTGGAAGTTGAGAGGTGGTCTCGAAGACATCTGGAGCTGTCAAAGGGCGTAGTTGACACCTTGTTGCAAGCTAGGAAAAAGTCAACTATTTTGACCTTCCATTGGGTATGGAAAGCCAAAAGACAAAAATTGGAATGCTTCAGCTCCCTTGGTATCGAATGTTCTTAAATTCCTGCAAAACAGTTTAAAAAGCAGCCTGGATTAGAATTAGTTGTAAATTCAAGTTTAAGTCCTCTTGGCCATGGCAACTAAAAGATGGGCCTTTCACCCTTTGGTCATTCATTTTCTGAAGGCAGCAGTGAAGATTAGATCACTAGTGGGAATTTGTCATTTGGTTTCAATGCCTTGCTGGAACCACCATTTTACCTAATAACTTCGTGTTCCTTATTCCATGTGGCTGAGGACATATTTCTTGATGGCAATTGCTACCACAAGGAGAGTATCTGACATGTATGCCTTTTTAGCTAGAGAGCCATACTGCTGGATCCTCCAAGACAGGGTCATTCTGAGACAGGTCCCAAATGTCTTCCAAAATGTTTAAACTTCATCCCATAAGTTGGGAGTCCGTACTTTCACCTTTTCTGGAAGATGGGTCAAAGGATGAGTGAAAGAAGTTAGATCTGGTTCATTCATTCTCAGTATATCTGAAATGCACGGAGGGCACCTGTGAATGAGTCTTTATACCTTCCATCAAGGTCCAGGGAAGGGCTTCACGGTACTACTACCCAAGGTCATGTCTTCGTGGATTGTCAAGAAAATTCAGATTGTCTACAAAGTCCTAGGCTTGCCGCCACCTTTAGAAGTGGGAGCTAATTCAACAAGAAGCATTTCAATTTCATGGGCAGCATAAGCTAAAGAGCTAGCAAAGGCGGTTTGCAGGGCAGAAAGCTGGAGCATGGCAAATGCATTTATTTGCCACCACAGAATGAGTGTGGGTTTTTCCATCGGTGTGGGTTTTTCTATCTTTTTAGATCTACAGTCATTGCACTGGCTGTCAGTAATAGGGGTTTATATGCAGCATTCAGTTTGTTTGTGTCTTGTTTTTTCCACTCCCTTTGTTCATTTTAGCATTGCTTGGTACATCCCATGGTAGACAGACATGGGGAGGTCCAGGAATAGGGAAAATTGTATTTCCATACTTATCGTGACTTTCCTTTCCTGGATCCTCCCCATGTCAGCCGGGGATTCCCATCCAGTCTCCGTCGTGAGGAGCGATATGTTGAACGCTGAGTGAGGGGAGACAGCCGCTCTTATAGGCTAGGAAAGAGATTGTCCTGGAGGGGTCAGAGGGGGGAGCTGACCCGTGGTAGGAAGACATGGGGAGGATCCAGGAAAGGAAAAATACACTAAGTATGGAATACAATTTTCCCTAATATAACCAATGTTGTAAAATAGTATAATAGCTGGAATGTTATTTGTTGCTGGGGACAACAAGCTTGTATACAAACCACACTTCTCAAATTAGTTTTAATTACCAGTTTATTGGATATATAATAATATTGGCAGGAGGAGCAACATAGCTTTGGTGTGCTCTCAAAAATACAGACGTAGCATCAGTTTTATGTTTTCATATTCAACACACACAGGCTAAATAAAAGGTATGGTTAAAACTCTCAGCTATTACCACCCACAGAGATCGCAGCACACCCATTGACAGCACCTTCGTCTGCTTTTCTCTAGCACCATCTTTGTTCAGTGAAAAACTGTAAAAACACACAGGAGGGTGAAAACGTCTAGTGCATTACGAAACACGCTTTTATTAAACACCTATAGTCGAAAAAACATACCACTTTACAACTGCATACAGAGAGGTTCTTAAAGTGGAACTCTCTCAATCAACATGGACCATTTTTAATCCTTATGCTGATAGCATTAGTAAATAGATAGGAAAGTATATCATATTTACTTGTTTAAACTTTTTTTTCAGTTACTTCCTGGTTTCCATGCCTTGGAAAATTATGTCATACATTCCAGCACTCTACAGAAGGGGAGGGAGGGTACTAAGCTCAGCCTATTCCTGAGCTAAGGGCAGGAGGATTCCAGGAAGTAAATGATACATGAATCAACTGTCCTTACTCAATGGCCACTGCCAGAAATGCCAGGGGGTGCTTTCAAAATGCTTTCTCATGCAAAATAAAGCGTGGAGACATGGATGTATGGGCGAGTTTGCTTTGAATATTAAAAATGTATTAAAACAGCATTTGTGGTTTGTGGAGTTCAGATGCAGCGCAGTTCCACTTTATCCAAGGACACCAGGGATATAGCAAGGCTGGAAGTTGGTACTAAGAGTAAATAGAGACAGAGTCAAGCAAGGTAGAGGGCAAGAGAGACAAGCAGAAAAGGGGCAGGGTAGGGAGAGAGACAAGCAGAGAGGAGACGGGTAAAGAGTCAAACACAGAGGAACATGGTACAGATCCAAACAGAGCAGAATGGGTGGAGTACAGTGTGAAATAATGATGGGCAAACTAGACAAAGAGAAGGGTAGAGTAAAGAAAGTAAGGAAGAAATAAAAAAAGGAAAAAACAGCACAGTGGCTAAGTGGTTATTACCTAAGCTTAGTAGCACTAGGGTCATAGGTTCGAATCTCAACCATGACACTACCTGCCTGGAGTTTGCATGTTCTTCCTGTGCCTGTGTGTGTTTCCTCCAGGTACTCTGGTTTCCTACTACACTCCAAAAAGACATGCTGGTAGGTTACTTGACTCCTTTCTAAATTGGCACAATATGTATGAATGCGAGTTAGGAACCTTAGATTGTAAGCTTCTTGATGGTAAGGGACTGATGTGAATGTAAAAATAGGGCTCATAAAATCCAAGGCGCCAGGTCACCATGGCTACTAAAATCAGATTTAAATAAAAGATTTCAGTTTGTTTTTCAATTGCGTTGTACAGTTTATAGGTCACATTAAAAAGGTGGAAAAAGTTGTGAAATGATTTATCTTTGTCTCTTTTTTTTACATCACAGAAACCTGATATTTTAAGAGGTGTATAAAAACTTTTTATGTCGTGTGTGTGTGTGTGTGTGTGTGTGTGTGTGTATTACTGCGTAAATTGATGGCACTAGAAGTACCTGTAATAAATACAGATAATCCACCTTTTCACACAAAAATTTGTTGCAATTACAAATGTTTAGGCATTCTCATGTTTATTTCTTTTGTTTGTATTGGAATGACACAAAAAAGCAGAGAAACAAAATACCAAATCTGACACATTCCACCCAAAACTCCAGAAAAGCACTGGACATAGTTATTGGCACTCTCAATTTAATATTTGGTAGCACACCCCTTGGAAAAAATAACTGAAATCAAATCGATTCCTGTAACCATCACTGGGTTTCTGGTATTTTGGACCACTGTTTTCGCCAACTGCTCTTGGTCTCTCAGATTGGAAAGGTTCCTTTTCCAAACTGCTGTTTTGAGATCTCGCCACAGGTGCTCAATGGGATTGAGATCTGGACTCATTGCTGGCCAGTTCGGTCCTTTTCAGCACTTTGTCTGAAATAATTTCAGGGTGCTTTTTGACATGTGCTTCAGGTCATTGTCCTGCTGTAAGACCCATGACCTCTGACGGAGACCCAACATTCTAACCTGGAACCTACATTGCACCCCAGGATTTTTTGGTAGTCTTCAGATTTCATAATGCCATGCACACGGTCAAGACATCCAGTGGCTGAAGCAGCACAGCAACCCCAAAACATCAGTGAACCTCCACCCTGTTTGACTGTAGGGACTGGATTCTTTTCTTTAAAGGCCTCATTGCTTTTTTTGAGAACAGTAGAATGATGGCCTTCACCAAAAAGCTGTAATTTTGTTTAGTCTATCCTCAGCACATTCTCCCCAAAAGGATTTTGACTTCCTCAGGTAAGTTTTGACAAACTCCAATCTGGCTTTTTTATGTTTCCATATCAGCAATGGTGTCCTCCTGGGTCTCCTACCATAGCGTTCCCTTTTCATTCAGATTGCGACATATAGTGAAAGCTGACACAGTTGTACCCTGAGCCTGAAAGTCAGCTTGAATTTACCTGGAAGTTGATCAAGGTTCTTTAGCCACTATTCGAACAATCCTTTGTTGCAATCTTTGAATATTTTTTTCTCTTTTGTCCACGTCCAGGGAGATTAGCTACAGAGCAATGGGCTGTAACACTTCTTGACTATGTTGCGT